GCTTTGCATGCATAAAACACAACAACAACACCCAGGCTCCAGGCTCGGCGTGTGTCGCATCCAGCGCACACCCACACTCTTGGGGAGCGAGCCAGAGCGCACATGTGTGTGTGTGTGTGTGTGTTTTGCGCGCGGAAGGTCTCCGCTTGCGGGTCGGAGCCTTGCAGTTAAAAAGCGTCTCGTGAAGCAGAGCCGAGAAAGCGATGCGCGGGACCTTGGAGAGCTCCGGCCAATCAGTGGCACCAGCCAGATGCTTTCTGTTCTGGCGATTCTCTTTCGTTTCCCCCAGACCTGCTGGACGAGGAACCCCGTCCACCCTCTCGCATCACGCATCCTTTTTTTCCCGGCCGCAGGCTCTATAGATCCCCACCCCTTTCCCCGGGATACTTTCGGCCAAAGACAGGCGCGCGCCACCGCTCTCCAAAACACACACACCGCGAAGCGCACGGAGACGCACGACGCTTCCTTTCCCCTCCTTCCTTCTCTTTCCCCGGGGGGGAAGGCGGGTGCGCCGCCGGCGCCTGGGCTGTGGAGAGCCAAGGGGAGCCGGGCTCCTTCCCTTTCCCGCACCTGCCTTCAGCCAAGGCGCCGAGATTGCCAAGGCACCGGCGGCCTCCGAGCCTGGCGCGCGCGCTGCCGGGCAAGAGGAAGGCGGAGCGAGGCGGGGCAGAGCTGCTGCTGCTGCCTCCGCCGCTGCGTGTGGGAGCGCCAGAAGGAGGCTGAGGGAGGACGAAGGAGCCAGCGGACGCTCAATGCGGTGCCATAAATTGTGGCGCCTCCTTGCCAGCCAGCCCTCCGGACAGCGGGGAGAGACACCTGGCTGGCCGGGGCAGCTGGCGGCGCTTGCCGCCTCAGAGCCTCTCTCCAGGTGGGGAAGGGCCTGCTGCGTCTTCCGTCGAAGTCTCGGCGGGGTTGGCTCTTGCCTCAGGAGGTGAAGAGAGGCTTTTGCTGCTGCTGTTCTGGCCGTGCTCAGCTATCGCCGAAAGGGTCCACACAAACGCGCACAAGGCCGTCTGCGCCTGCGTGGAAAAAGACCCTCAGTCTCGGGCCCAAGAAATTTCCCTCAAGTTGAGCAGCGCTGACCAAACCACCACCACGCACTGGAAACACAACAACACATAACCGTTAAAGCGCTTCCTCTTTCCTTATTTATGAGGCACAGTCCATATTATCACAGAGTAGACCCAAGACAATTTACTGCCTGAGGCATATGGCACGGTGGTCCCCCTCTTTCTGCATAAAGAAGCTGGCTGGACTGGCACTTGGATGTTACTAAGAAGCTGGTTGACTGGGAAGCATCCCTCACAACACCTGAGGGCTGTAGGTTGCAGGTGAGGTCGAGGGAGGTGGTGTGGTACAAACAGCCCTGTCAGCCCCACAAAAAGGGATTCTAAAGGAGTGGTGGTGGTGGATAATAGAAGGGAAAAGGGGAGCTTTGTTTATTTCTAAAGGAATAGTGGTGGGGTCAAGCACCTCCCATAAACTGCAGTATCCCCTACCCCCAATGGTAGGGCCGGCCCTGCATCCTAGCATTTTGCTAGCATGAGGTACTCAGGTTTGCATTCTTCAGAGTTCCACCTACCTCTACGCACACTTCAGACCCAGTATCAAAAGTGGACTGTGCAGTGATGCACCTCTTCTCTAGTTCACGTGCATATAATTATTAATTATAATTATTAACGAGCACTGATTGTAAGCATGCAGTGTGCAGCCTGTCATTTTGCCCATGGTTGCATTGTCAGACACCACATTTTGGGCCTCGTTCAGTGGAGGATAGGCTAAAGCAGACTGTAGCTGATAGCAAGGAGCCTTTGTCAGATGGGCAATGGTAGAGCAATGACTAGGGCCACTGAGTTAGAATTGGGATGTTAGAAGCACGCTCCTGTTTTCATCTGTGAAATGTTGGAAGGTATGGCCATATTTAGTGGGTCCCTGAATGCATTTGGGAACAGCACCCTAAATGCATTCTAATTTAATTGAACAGTTGCATTTCTACCGCACAGCTTCACATCCTGATGCACTGCCCACATCCCTTCATAAAGGAATACCTTATTGAGAGGGGCATTTCAGTCCCAACAAAGACACTTCTTTCCCTCTCCTCAAATAGAGCTCACTCTCAGCAATTATAAAATGAAGCCCTATTCTTGATTTGTGTAGCTGTTACCAAGTAGTCCCATTTACTCATACAGGGAGATATAAACTGATCCATAGCTCAGTGATAAAGAACATTATTTGCATGGAGAAAGTTCCAGATTCATTCAGTCTCCCATTAGGATGAGGAAAAAGTAATCTGAAACACTGGAAAGTGAGATCCAGTCAGTGGCACAATACTCACTTTACAATGGTCTGACCTTGTGAAAACCACATTATTGTGTTCTTAAACATGTTCTTTGGATGAAGGGCAGTATATAGATTTAATAAATAATAATAATAATAATTACAAATGTGCCAAGACTTACATAGTGCTACTGCTATCCGTTTCCTCTTCTGTTCCTTTGAAATTTCAAAGTATTAAAATGCGCAAAGCAAAAATTGAAAAGCAAAAATTAAAAACAAACAGAAACATGTCCTGAGAAATTACAGAACATTGGCTCCCTCCATCTTGAACTTACAAGGCATTAAAATGCGTCAAGCTCCTTGGCAACTGATTGAAATTATTTATATTTACTAAAGCACTGCACTGTTCATTCCAACATTTTCTGAAATACAAAACTGTACCAACAATTGCAAGATACTGCTTCCTACCAATCACTGCACAATATCAAGCTATTCCCCTTCTCCTCAGCTTCCCACCTGATTGGCACAACATTGGAATGCTCCCGGTTACTGTGCAATAGAATGCAAATTAGGGATGGCAGTGGGTGAAATTTGCTCAAGGCACATCAAGAAAGAAAATGACATTTGATAGTCTAGGGAAGGTTGTGCTCTGGTGTTACTTCTACTTTGAGGCTTTTTTTTGAGGGGGGTGTTGCTATTGCATGTGCCTGAGTTCTGCAGGATGACAGCTTGTGCTGCTAAAGTGGGACACAGATTTACGATAGAAAAGCTATCAGTAAATATGTATTATCCATTAAGTTAAATATACAACTGGGAGAGTTCAAGGCAGTGGTGGGGGAGATGTATTTCTTAAAACATGCAAACTGCTTTAGCCATACCACACAAAAACACTCGCACGCACACACAAATTAATTCCAATATGAGAAGGTATATATAGAGGCTTCTGTGAACAGGGCTTTGGCCTTTATCCTAAAGCAGAGGTAGCCACTGTGTTCCCCTTCAGGTGTTCCTGGACCACAATTCCCATCAGCCTCAGCCATCATGACAAATAGCCAGGGATATTGAGAGCTGGGGTCTAGAAGATGCCACTGTTGGCTATCCCTGGTCCTAAAAGAGTAATAGCAGCGGATGGCTGAACTGTGATCTGTATGATACAGCAATCTAGCTGTTAGGCATCCAAGCTTCTCCCCCCTTTGCAATAATGTAAAATTTCAACAGCTAAAAGATTCCAACAAATATTATAGACATAACAAACACAATCCTACTTCTAGCAAGGAATGCAACAGCTATGGTAATTCACCGTCTGTTCGGCTCTGTTGTGATCTTGTCCCATTTTCATGAATTTAAGAACACTGGGGGGAAATAAGCAGGTTCACAGCATGCAATAACATCACTGAATGGAGGATAGTAGGCGTAGGTTTATTTCTGTAATGAATTATGTTTGAAGATGCCCAAATGGCAGTAAACATAAGTAACACATTTAAATGCCCCTTTCTGCCATAACAAGCTCTGTACATGAAAAAGGCTTTTCCAATGATTTTTCCAGTCCAAAAAATTACTGCTGCAAACAGACTTGGGCATTTAAAACAGTGACTAATGGAGTTAACTTGAATGGAATTCATCACAAGAAACTCCCCCCGCCCCCCCAGCATAGGGCATAAAGCATGAAGCTTTAGCTTTATTGTAGCAAGGGAGCCTGCACTTGCCTCTGGTTACATTTAAATCTGTGGTTACCCTCACCCTTTTTACAGGCTCGTTTTACTTTTCATTCGTGGTTTTGAAATGTACTTGTCTTTTGTTTTATATCTTCACAGATGGTTTTTTTTATTTTGAAAAGAGCACAGCGCAAAACCCCCCCAACGATCAAACACCAGGATCTTCATAGTTTGGGCCTTGCTCAAGGAAAACAAAACCCCAAAACAATACAGGAGCTGTGAAGCTTTGCATTTCAAGTAGCTTCTGAGCTTCATGACAGTGTCTGGATTTCAGCTCCATTGGGAATCTCCTCCTGATCTGTTGCATGGCGAGCAGACCATGATCTGATGAGAGGATCAGCCTTGAGAAGACTGGATTGTAATCCGGCAATTGCTTGCAGCGAAAGGTGAGGGAGAATCCTGGGGAAATACAGCTATCGGGTAACATGACTTCTACACGCGCTTGGATACTGATTCCTCCATGTGTGCTGGGATATTGATCGAGTCTCAGTGGGCCTGTGGATCTTTGGAGAAGGTTTTCTGGGTGGCTTGTTGGCCTTCTCCTCTCTGAACATCATCCCATCTCCTTTCCAACTTGGTGACATGGGTGTTTGATGGTAAAAATTTCTGCTGACTCATCCATCCTTAGACATCTCCTTCGAAAGCCAAGCAGATGACCGAATAGCATCTACCAGTGCCTTTTATTTCTAAAGTCATTTTTTTACAGCCCCGTCAAAGTTGCACATTTGCTTGTGCTTGAAAATATTCACTTTCATTCATTTTGCTTTTTGCTTTTTCTTCTTCTTTTTTTTTTGAAGGGAGGAGGGATTTACATATTGGGTGCGCCTCCCCTGAGCCTCTCCTACTGGGAGAGGCAACTCCACTATTCCTCCCCAGAACATTAGGAAAGCAAGAGTTAACTTATCTAGTGTGAGGGGTTCCTGGAAAGATTTTACCCTGTCTGCTTCAACCCCCCCACCACCACTCCCCCCTCCTCTCCCCCCTCTCCCCCACCCCACCCCACGAAGAATGGGGCCTGTGCTCCTCAGGCGTGGAGGTTGCCTCCTACTATGGATGGCCCTTCTCCTGGGATGCTGGGCCGAGCTTGGCAGCAGCCTGGAATTCCCAGGAGCAGAGGGCCAGTGGACTCGTTTCCCTAAATGGAATGCCTGCTGCGAGAGTGAAATGAGCTTCAACATGAAGACCCGCAGTTCCAGTGGCCTGGTCCTTTACTTTGATGACGAGGGCTTCTGTGACTTCTTGGAGTTAATCCTGACGCAAGGCGGGAGGCTCCAGCTCAGCTTCTCCATCTTCTGTGCCGAACCCGCCATCTTGCTCTCCGACATGGCTGTTAACGACAACCTGTGGCACACAGTGGTTGTCCGCCGCAATTTTAAGAACACGACGCTACTAATTGACCAGACTGAGGCTAAGTGGGTGGAAGTGAAATCCAAGCGACGGGACATGACTGTCTTCAGCGGCCTCTTTCTCGGAGGGTTGCCTCCTGAGCTGCGTTCAGCTACTCTAAAAGTAACACTCTCCTCGGTGAAGGACCGGGAGCCCTTCAAGGGATGGATAACAGATGTAAGGGTCAACTACACACAGTCCTCGCCTGTGGAGAGTCAAGAAGTGCGGCTGGATGATGAACAGAGCCACCTGTGTGCCAGGGATGACGTTTGCCTCAATGGAGGCGTCTGCTCTGTGCTCAATGACCAGGCTGTGTGTGATTGCTCCCAAACTGGCTTCCGCGGGAAGGACTGCAGCGAAGGTAAGAACATGTTTTCACCTTTGCCCTGCCAGCCTCTCCCTCAATGACAGGGAAGGTCAGGAGATGGAGACTGCATGGCTTTTCCTCTGTATGAGTGAATCTCGCAGCTGTGCTTTCCCCTCATCCATCTCATACCTTGGACCTTCGGTTAAATATTCCAGCCCTTCTTCCTCCATCCCTTTGAACAATTATTGTCGCCATATGTTTTGCAACTTTTAAGACAAAGTTGAAGATGAGGTGGTGGGTGGTGGCGGGAAAGTCACCATTTTGGGAACAGGAAGGTTGTGGGCAGTGAGCAATGTGGTGAGCAGAACTTGGTAGCATGGAAGGGAATGTGGGGTATTAGGTTTAGAAAAGGAAAGATGAGGAATGGGTAACTTGCAATTATCCTTGATGGGGTTTCTCCCATTAGGAAACGGGCTTTCAAATTCATCCACAACTCCAGCCAGCTGAAGTACTTGATTTTAAACCTGTTTAGTCCCAATGAGATTAAATAACTCCAAAAGCAAGTATTTGGCCTTAACAGATTTGTGGATTTGGCTGCTCCTAGTTTGATTATTGTATGAAAGCGTGGGAGGAGAGGTGATGGGATTTATTCATTGTATGAGGATAATGGAGAAATTGTGTTTGTTCTTCCTCTTTGGAGGTAGGTTTATTAATATCATCAGATTGCTTGAAGCCATATCAATGATTTATTTGTGCAGCTCCTTAATGGACAAGGAGTATGAATTGCAGTGGATTTATAATTTCATACCAGAATAAATGTCATTTTGCAATAATGGACTTAGCCAATTCATATGTCTGTCATATGAAGGCTATATGCAGCTGTAGAATTATTTTGACTGGAGTATTTCCAGAGGTCAGTATTCAGAACTAGAACTCAGAAGACGGTGAAAGCAAAAGGGACTTGCTTGTATTCTTCCCCCTTTTTCTTTTTTAAAAAAAACCAAACCAAAACAAACCTGCAAACATGTTAATAACTGAATCCTCATTGTCAGTGCCCATCCCTTTTGGTAACATGGATTAATTAAGTGCGGTTTCATCTGTTCCTTATTTATTTTTTAAAATAAATAATATTTGCATTTCTAATTTTTTGCAGATGTTTTTCTGAAATGGATAGGAAATATTTTTGTTGCATTTGCTGGCCATGGAGTGACAGTCAAAGCTGTTATAAATGATAGCATATGAGGAGATAGAATACATGTTTCTGTACACATATAAAAATTAAAGGAAACAATTTTCCTATGGAACGTAGAAATGATTCCAAACTGACAAAGACCAGATGAAGGTGCTTGTTGAGTGGCTATATGTCTATAATGACTGAGTAATTTGCCTTTATCACTTTTAATCAAGTTTCACTGGCTGTAGAAAAGAGACATAATTTGTGGGTGTGCTTTTTATTATGTAAACTTCCTTCCTTTGCTGTCCAGTTCTTAGATTTTCAGTCATTTCACATCCTATTAATTTGTCAGCTTTTTATCTTTCATCTTCTCTGTTATTAGCGCTGAACATTCAAGCCTTTTTTATTACATATATTCACAAATGCTGTTGAAACTGTAATAGATCAAATAATATATATGCTATAAGATCATTGGCTCTTGAGGAAATGCCTGTGTATTGGTGTTATTTGCAAATACTTGGTTTAATGCAGTATGTGGTCTTAAAGGAGGGCTTAGATGAGTTTAGATGTCCCTGTTTCAGTACACTGACCTAATTCACAATGGTAACTGATTGATAGATTGAGGTTGCAATCCTATGGCAATGACCTGGGAGCAAGTCCCATTAAAACAATTGGAGATTGTTTTTGAGAAGACATGTAGAGGGCTGCATGTGAATCCAGTTAATAGCAGAAATTACAAATGTTGAAATTGTCTGAAACACTATCCATGTTATGAAAACAAGCTAACAAATAAGTTTTTAAGAAACATTGATACAGAAGCAGAAGAACATTAAGAACCAAAAGAAAGGTCACAACTCCATATTAGAAAGATGAAACAATTGCACCTCCATTAAAATTAAACTCTGATGTTGATGCTAGATGCATGTAAATCTCATAAACTATTTCAAAAAAAGTGCAATTAACACATTCAAGTGAAGGAAGAATGGGTGTTTTTTGATCTAGCCAGCTATTAAGATTTACAGACCTATTCCGTCTACATTTATTCATATCAGTGGGATTTACTCCCAGGTAAGTGTGTGGTGCAGCCTCAGAGGCTCATCACAAGTCTTTAATTACGGCAGTGGCAAGGACTCTTTATCCCAGTTAGAACATCACAGTGAATGCTGATTGCAGGGGAAAATACACTGCTTGCGATGTGCAATATTGCAGCTGATTAAAAAGAAATTCAGAGAAAAGACAAGATTCCCAGCCAGTCACAGAGAGCTGTTACTCTCTGAGCCCTTGCATCCTATTTGTTAATGAAAACCATATCAAATAAGGTTGATTGCATAACAGCAATGGGTAGCTCTTTGTATTGATTAATCAAAGGTTTGAATTACTCTGTGATTAGGTTACATTCTTGTGACTAATTAGGGGAAGCAAAAATAAAATAGGAAAGGGACATGTGCAACCTGTTCCCCTCATTAGGCTTAAGACTCACAGCAGCTCTTGCCTATAGCGGTTGTTTCTTCCTCGCCCTTAGTGGCTCTGAGTCTTTGTAGACTTAAAAACTGTCAGTGGGGTTTATTCAGTGGTCGAGAAAAAACACCAACTGAATATGGTGTTCTGTTTGCATAGTGGTGTGTTTTGGATTATTGTATGAAGGACTCATCGTTCACCACCACCATTATTTATAGAAGCGCCTAAAATATACTGGGCACTATTGTACGTCCATAAAAGTTAATCAGAAGACTATCTGGTCGTTAAACTTCATGGGGTTTTATGATATGCCTGTGTTTCTTGCATAGTCTTGCTTTATAAAGTGGAATAGCATAATGGGAAGAGGATTTGTTAATGAGTTTTCTTTTCATGCCTTAGGTGCTGCTCATTACTGTGCAGATAACTGAGCAGTTTTTTTTTTTTTTAAAGCAAACATAGCCTGCTATAAATACTGAGTTTACTGTAGCAATATGGGGCGCTGCTACCTTCACGGACCCAACTATTTATATCAGATTCCATAGCTGTTCTTTAATATGTTATTGGTATTCCTGTTAGTGATAATATACTTTTAATGGCGCTTCCTGAATGTTCACATGCATTGTCTCGTACAAAAAGCATTGCAAGGTAGGTCAGTATTATTTATGTACTGAGACCAGATCAATTTATTTGTTTTTAAGCATGAGTTATAACAGGGCAGGAGAATGACAGGCCAATCCTCCTCTTCATGTTTACTCAGAAGGATGCCTCGCTGAAATTAATGGAGTTTACTCGCAAATCAGCATACATAGAGTTGCAGCCTGAATGTACACAAGGAACAGAACAGAAAAGCTGACTAACATTAAAAAAGTTGTCACACAATATAGAATTTTAGATTATTGTCCCTATAAAAGCAAACCTGCATTCAGTTTGCAAAATCAGTTTTTTTCTTGCCACCTCTGCAAATGTACTCACTTTATACGTAATGTACTTGTATTAGTTGTTTGACAGAAAACATGATTTGGCAAAGTCATCCTGATATCTTGTTCCATGAAACAAGGTCAGATTAAACAAAAATAACAGGAATAGAATGGGAAATGTAATAGACAATGGGTTTAGGAAGCATACATGCCTTACATTTAAATCATGTGACTTCCCCCAAAGAATCCTGGGAGCTGTAGTTTATCTCTCAGAGAAGTACAGTGGTACCTCGGGTTAAGAACTTAATTCATACTAAAGGTCCGTTCTTAACCTGAAACTTTTCTTAACCTGAAGCACCACTTTATCTAATGGGGCCTCTCGCTGCTTCCGCGCCACCACTGCAGAATTTCTGTTCTCATCCTGAAGAGAAGTTCTTAACCCGAGGTACTATTTCTGGGTTAGAGGAGTCTGTAACCCAAAGCGTATGTAACCTGAAGCATCTGTAACCCGAGGTACCACTGTACAAATCCCAGCATCCCTAACAGAGTATAGTTTCTAGGATTATTTGTAGGAAGTCAGTTGCTTTAACTGTATTGTCCTAGGTCTATTTGTGCACTACAAATGCAGCCCTCTATACATAATGAGATTTTAGTTTATCTGCCTTGGACTGTACTAGGAATGGGATAGAACAAAAGTGCTGTGTGTATGTACCGTATTTTTGTGTGTGTGTGTATGGATATATATATATATATATATATATATATATATATATATATATATATATATATGAATGATTTACAATCCCTCAGATCACAGGAATAACTTTCCGATCCCATGTCATGAGCTGGGGAGGAAATCCAATCAAGGGGAAAATAAAAACTTCTGAAGAATTGGTATATCATGCTGCCTAAGTACATTTATTATTCTAGTTTTAATTAATAGTTTAGCAGCTTTTTCTATTGATTGTGCTCAGGAATAACAAAGGGAACACATCCTCTACTAGCAGATCTGAACATTTAATAATAATAATAATAATAATAATAATAGATTTTAAATTTATATCCCACTCATCTTGCTGGGTTTCCCCAGCCACTCTGGGTGGCTTACAACATATATAAAAACACAACAAAGTATCAAAATAAATAAATATCCTATACAAGCAACAAACAAACCAATAAATCAATAGAAACCAATAATAACAATAACAATAATAAACAGTTTACAGTTATACCCAAATTAAAATAGCTGCCAACCCCAACTAAACATTTAACCAACATCAACCCGACAAAAACTAAACAGAGGAACCAAAATTCGAACCATTTAAAACATTTTAGCCAGTTGCGCCAACCCAAGAGTTGTTCCGGTAATGTCCTTCCGGCCTCCCAGGAGCCTCTTTTAGGAAGGACACAAAGTGACTTCAAATCAGTGGGAAGGTAAGTACAACTATGCATCCATGAATACAAGGGAATAATACAAAAATGAAATCAAAACAACAGCAACAATGTAATTTTCTTTTTAAAAATGTCCTGTGTATTTTGGGTCTATGGACCGCAATAAAGTTGTGTGTGTGTGTAAATAATAATAATAAAAAAATACAGTGCCATGCATTCAAAATTCTAGCATAGTAGGATGGTGGATTTTTACTGTGGCTATGTTAAGTTATTGCTAACATAAAAAATAAGTGAGTGCCAAGCCAAAACAAATTTATTTGATTATTTCTTTTCAATACCATGAAGAAAAATCATTTTGAGCCACTATTTTCATTTAACATACCAAGTATTTCTGAGAGAGGACGGCTGTCCAAAAATATACTTCACTGGCAATCTATAGAGTCACCCCATCCTTCATAATTTATGTCGATTATTAATAATATATTTATGATTTCCAGCAATAAAAGGGTTGGCTTAAACCTCTAACCTCAAAGGGGATCCTGGACTGCTCTATATTGCTGATGGAAGGGCAAAAGATAGATGCCTGCCCTAAGGATAGCCAGTGCATTTATGATTGGTCTTGGTGGAAAAGGATCAGTGAAAAAGGATCAGTAGGAAAGGGGTCTAAAATAAACCTTCCCAGTATGCTGTTGCATCTTTGAAATAATATATATAGCAGAGATGGATATAATAAAGATGGAAAAGGTGTAAAAGCAATCCAAACTTAACAATCAGCAGTGTGGGACACTCACTTTTCTTGTGAGGAAAGGGGCTGAGGTGTTGTGTTTTTTGCTGCATTATAAAAGGAAATTGTGATTCGAGGGCCCGATCCCCGCTTGGTGGAATAAAGACATGTGGACACAGTGTATAAGGTTAATGGGCAAGAAAAGGCCACAACTTTATTGATTACAGCATGTGAGAAGGTATTGGCTTAGGCATTGGACCACGGAAGATTTGACACCACCCACTCAGAGAGGGGTGAGTCTGAAGAGGGGTTAACCACCAGTCGGGGGAGCCTGTTGATGCTAATACAACTATAAGGTCTCCCCTGATGTCACTGAGGGTCGTTCCATGGCCCCCCGCCACACAGGCATCGGACAGGATCCACGACCGGCAGATTCCTTAAACGGAATACCCAAAATTGAAGGGGTAGGCGATGGCCACACCTTGCACTTCCACACACCAACAACACATTCCAATGCCTAACCACCTAAAAGGAAATACTGGTTTGTGACATGATAAAGATTTATAAAATAAAGTAGAGAAAGTAGTTTTGCTCTTTCTCTCACAGTGCTAGAACTTGAATTCCTCCAGCAAAGCTGATGGGCAGGAGATTCAGGACAGAAAATAGGAAGCCTATCTTCAAACAGTGCATATAATTCATTTAGAGAATTCACTAGTTTATATGGCTTTAAAAAGGGGGATTAGACAGATTCATGGAGAACAAGTCTATCAGTGGCTAGTCATTCAGTCCTTGATGTAGAAGAAATTATTACAAAATTATTCTTAAGTGTATTCAAATGAATATTGCTTCAGAAAAAGTGCAAGAACAGTGAAACCAGAACAGATTGTTAGATAATTTTAATAAAGAATCTAGTGTGAAAAGTAGCAGTATCTACCAAGGTTATTTATTAAAAGCTGTAAGTGAAAATAGTCATAGAATAATAGAATCATAGAATCATAGAGTTGGAAGAGACCACAAGGGCCATCGAGTCCAACCCCCTGCCAAGCAGGAAACACCATCAGAGCACTCCTGACATATGGTTGTCAAGCCTCTGCTTAAAGACCTCCAAAGGAGGAGACTCCACCACACTCCTTGGCAGCAAATTCCACTGTCAAACAGCTCTTACTGTCAGGAAGTTCTTCCTAATGTTTAGGTGGAATCTTCTTTCTTGTAGTTTGGATCCATTGCTCTGTGTCCGCTTCTCTGGAGCAGCAGAAAACAACCTTTCTCCCTCCTCTATGTGACATCCTTTTATATATTTGAACATGGCTATCATATCACCCCTTAACCTCCTCTTCTCCAGGCTAAACATGCCCAGCTCCCTTAGCCGTTCCTCATAAGGCATCGTTTCCAGGCCTTTGACTATTTTGGTTGCCCTCCTCTGGACACGTTCCAGTTTGTCAGTGTCCTTCTTGAACTGTGGTGCCCAGAACTGGACACAGTACTCCAGGTGAGGTCTGACCAGAGCAGAATACAGTGGCACTATTACTTCCCTTGATCTAGATGCTATACTCCTATTGATGCAGGCCAGAATTGCATTGGCTTTTTTAGCTGCCGCGTCACACTGTTGGCTCATGTCAAGTTTGTGGTCAACCAAGACTCCTAGATCCTTTTCACATGTCAAATAACTGTGTAATTGATAATGCTGTAAAGTATGGCAATATTGAAAAATTCTGTGAAATGCAGAAGGCTTACAACTCCATGGAGATTTTTTTAGCTCTTCTTTTTTTTACTGAGCCCATATTCATAGAGATTGGGTAAAATTGTCTTTATGAACATCCCCCCTCCTGCTCTTCTCAAAACAGAAAACAATTGCTAATAATTCCTAGTATTAAAGGTAAAGGGACCCTGACCATTTGGTCCAGTCGTGACCGACTCTGGGGTTGCGGCGCTCATCTCGCTTTATTGGCCGAGGGAGCCGGCGTACAGCTTCCGGGTCATGTGGCCAGCATGACTAAGCCGCTTCTGGCAAACCAGAGCAGCGCACGGAAACACCGTTTACCTTCCCACCACAGTGGTACCTATTTATCTACTTGCACTTTGATGTGCTTTCGAACTGCTAGGTTGGCAGGAGCAGGGACTGAGTAATGGGCGCTCACCCCATCACAGGGATTCGAACCGCTGACCTTCTGATCGGCAAGTCCTAGGCTCTGTGGTTTAACCCACAACGCCACCTGTGTCCCTAATTCCTAGTATTACCCTTACGTAAAATTCACCTTTTAAAAATCTTGTTGCTCTTACTAATGTGACGCCATTTGTTTTAAAGGTGGGTATAAAGACAAAAGAATAATTTTTTAAAAGTCCTAATATGTTTCAACCATTTACACATTCCATCATGATATAGAACAATACTTTTTATAATGTTTTGCAGGAAGTGTAGCTTTTTAAATAATGCCAGGAACACCCTGAACCAGTGGGTTGAATCTGAGCTTGAGGAGCCTGTTTGATTAAATGACTTGGAGGCTATCCATGCACCAGACTAGTTATTAAGCTCTGAATTCACCTGAGTGAGTCAAATCAACCCTAATTACTGTACAACTGCTTCCTGTAACAGGCAGTACACTGAAGAAGTAGCCCTTGTGGCCTTGGTTCCAGGTATTATGGTTATAAGAATGCATTTAAAAACAAAACAAAAAACTATACCCTTTATCTTTTGGCATAGTGATATCTATCAACAGTAGTTTTTACATATACAGTGGACGCTCGGGTTGTGAACATGATCCATGTGGGATGCACATTCACAACCCGCAGCATCCGCAACCTGTGTCTGCGCATCTGCGCACGCGCGGGGTCTGATTCAGCGCTTCTGCGCATGCGCAAAGCACAATTTAGCACTTTTGCGCATGTGTGACTGCTGAAACCCGAAAGTAACCTGTTCCAGTACTTCCAGGTTTTGGCGGTCCGTAACCCCCAAAAAACGCAACTTGAAGCATCTGTAATCCGAGGTATGACTGTAGTTACACTTTGCTGTATGGAGTTTTAAATTTCCTTAAAAGCCCAATAATGTTACACTTGCCATCTTATGCCTCTGCAATACAGATAGGCCCATAACCTTTATAGGTCGTTTTATACCTGGGATATTTCTCACAGCATAAAATAGACTAAACCTTATGAAGCCACCATACACAAAGCCAAACCATTGTTCCCTGTTGTCTTCTCAGACTGACATTGGCTCCCCCAAGGTCTTCATCAGAGGTCTTATTGCTTTCTGTAGCTGTTTGACAGGAGACACCAGGAGCTGAATCCAGGACTCCCCCTCCCCTTTCCCCCCACTGAAATCACATTCCTTTTAATACTGATCTGGTGCCGAGTGCCAAAAGAAATGGAGACAAAACATGGCAATTGAGAAACAAGAGGGAGATGTTAGTGTGTTTTACCAAAGTATGGGGAAAAAACCCTCCCAACTTTTTTTAAGTAAGGGGGCGTAACCCCCATCGTTCTACCTGGACACTGAGGTCCAGCGCTGAGGGCCTTCTGGCAGTTCCCTCGCTGTGAGAAGCCAAGTTACAGGGAACCAGGCAGAGGGTCTTCTCGGTAGTGGCACCCGCCCTGTGGAATGCCCTCCCATCAGATGTCAAAGAGAAAAACAACTACCAGACTTTTAGAAGACATCTGAAGGCAGCCCTGTTTAGGGAAGCTTTTAATGTTTGATGCATTACTGTATTTTAATATTTGGTTGGAAGCCGCCCAGAGTGGCTGGGTAAGCCCAGTCAGATGGGCGGGGTATAAATAATACATTATTATTATTATTATTATTATTATTATTATTATTATTATTTTATTAGAAAGTCCAACAATCAGCCCTTAAGGACTGGGTATGCTCAGTTGCCATGGGATGTTGTGCTTCAGTTGGAAAGGAAAAAGCAAAATGAAACTAGGGTGGTGATGAAATGCTAAATTGTAGCAAACTCAGGTGGTTGAGTTGTGGGCAAAACTGAGCTACACACACTGATAAATGCTAAATGATGTTGATGCCAGTCATAGACAATAGCTTACTTCAGGCTAAGTGAGCTCTTCAAATATCGTGGACTGCGGGATACAAAAATATTGAGAACAGCACAATTTCAGAATCAGTATTGTTGGAGTCACTCTCTCTGGACTTTCGGACTTCAAGCCATGTATGGGGAAAGGTTAGCGAAGATGAAAAAGCTCCCCGGAGTGGAAAGGAGCTATTTTAGCAGCTCTTGGACCCATAACTTTTTATGAACATTACCGGGAAGAACGACGTCTATGTAATATAAGCCTTAATAATTTAGGAGATTTTGTGGAGGACTAGGTAAAAATATCTTCAGTATTCATTCCAAAAGCATGTGGACATAAGTGGGGGTGTTGCAGAACCAGACATTATCTGCTGTTCCAAAGAGTGCTGATTCAATGAAGACGGAACCTTAGAAAAATCACCAAATTAAACTTTAGGCTGAAATAGGGATTTTCAGAACAGTTAGTTTCTCAGTTTTAGTGGATCCATCAGCACCACACACGTGAACAGGCAAAACCGTCACTTCAGCACTAAACAGACTTCCCACCCATTGATGAGTCCTGCCTTTCAGTGCTGTCATTGTTGCATATCTCATCTATATACTAGTTGTAGTTGTTGTTTAGTCATTTAGTCGTGTCCGACTTGTCGTGACCCCATGGACCAGAGCATGCCAGGCACTCCTGTCTTCCACTGCCTCCCGCAGCTTGGTCAAACTCATGCTGGTAGCTTTGACTATACAGTGGTACCTCGGGTTAAGTACTTAATTCGTTCCGGAGGTCTGTACTTAACCTGAAGCTGTTCTTAACCTGAAGCACCACTTTAGCTAATGGGGCCTCCTGCTGCTGCCGTGCCACCGGAGCAAGATTTCTGTTCTCATCCTGAAGCAAAGTTCTTAACCTGAAGCACTATTTCTGGGTTAGCTGAGTCTGTAACCTGAAGCGTATGTAACCTGAAGCATATGTAACCAGAGGTATCACTGTATACTAGTACTGTTGGCCATATACATGGTGCTGAAGAAGGGCTTTTTAAAATCAAAGACACTCCACTTTTGCTACGGCTAGGGTGGATGTCATAGATAGATAAATGTTATTAGGAACATGGAATGCGGGTGGCACTGTGGTCTAAACCATTGAGCCTCTTGGGCTTGCTGATTGGAAGGTCGACGGTTTGAATCCCCATGACGGAGTGAGCTCCCGTTGCTCTGTCCCAGTTCCTGCCAACCTAGCAGTTCAAAAGCATACCAGTGCAAGTAGATAAATGGGTACCGCTGCGGCGGGAAGGTAAACGGTGTTTCTGTGCGCTCTGGAGATTGTCACGGTCTTCCGTGCGCCAGTAGTGGTTTAGTTATGCTGGCCACATGACCCGGAAAGCTGTCTGTGGACAAACACCAGCTCCCTTGGCCCGAAAGCGAGAATAGCGGCGCAACCCCATAGTCCCCTTTGACTGGACTTAACTGTCCAGAAGTCCTTTACCTTTTACCATTTATTAGGAACTTGTAGGCCCAAATTTGTTGACTCACTTTCAGGTCACAGCTGTTGTGTAAACTCCCCCATCCCACTTAAAGGTTTTATGTTAGGAAGTAGAAAATCACTGGATATCATAGTGCCAGGGATGTAATTACAGCAAAGGGAGCAAGCTGCCTGGCAGAATCTAGAATTTATGTTGGATTTTCAAATAATCTCCCTTTTTTTTTTACTTTAAATGCCAGCCTCTGAAATGTATCTTAATATTAAGCCCTGAGGCAGGGAACCAGCATGTATTATGAATATATCTGTGAATGTGATATTTTAAAGTTATAATTTCCCCTCTGAATTCAAGACCTAAGGGATTGAAAGAGCTGGACATTTCAGTATGGACCCTCAAGTTTTCAGAGGAGCAGGACTGAAACTTGAAAACATTTAGGACCACTTTAAGCCAGTTCTGTTTAATGTATGGATGTTCTCTGAGATGCATAGTTTTGACACTGTTGGGGAATATGCACTGCAATGTGGATAAACTCAGTACAGTGGTACCTCAGGTTAAGTACTTAATTCGTTCTGGAGGTCTGTTCTTAACCTGAAACTGTTCTTAACCTGAAGCACCACTTTAGCTAATGGGGCCTTCCACTGCTGCCGCGCTGCCGGAACACGATTTCTGTTCTTATCCTGAAGCAAAGTTCTTAACCTGAAGCACTATTTCTGGGTTAGCAGAGTGTGTAACCTGAAGCGTATGTAACCTGAAGCATATGTAACCCAAGGTACCACTGTACTGGCAACTGGTGGAAGAAACACATTTGATTTTTATTAGCCCTTGCTTGCAGCCTTAGGCAGGCAGAATTGTTCATTTTGTAGAATAAGTCTAATGATCCCGGGGCTAAAATGAAGGCTTGTAGAAAATTTAAGATTTGCTGGATGTCAAATTCTTGTTGAAGAGATTGCAATTTGATAGTGATACATTTCCCACATTATGCCCAGGCCCACCCCTAGGATAAAGAGTGCCAAGGATAAAAAAGGAGAAGTAGATTTTGGGATCGTCACCAGTAGCCTAATTTATTTTGTAATATTTATAGACCTTTTCTCAAAATTTAATTTACAAAGCAGTGCATTTGGAATAATAACAATTATAGTTAAGGCACACTGATTAATAAATATATACAGTGAGAATTATGTCCATATCGCTACAGGCATCTCAGTAAACTTGCATCTTGCATCAAAGTAACATTGTGGCCAGAATAAAAGAAATACAAGGCATGGGCGTATGCAACTGTTCTCAGTTCCTAGCAGCCCCAGCCAACATGGTCAATGGTCAGGAAGTTCTAGGTGGTCTTTGGTAACATGGTGCCTCAAGCAAGGACAACATTTGGTTCTTTCCCTATTTCTTATTTTCACAACAGTTCATTTAGGTACAGTTTACTCATATACTGACCTGTATAAATATATAAATATATGTTGTATTATTATCATTATTAATCCTAAATCTGGTGCTGTCCAGCAATATCTGGAGGGCACTGTGTTGACTACCCCTTTTCTCCGGTGAAAAAAAATAGGCAAACTATTTGTAGATCACACTGGATTGGCTCCAAATTAAGCCAAGCTATTAAGTACAGTAATAATGAAATATAATGATTTAAATAGGTAAATTATTGAATAATTTGGAAATACTGATGAAGATGGAGCATCAATTCTTCACATATTTCCCAGTGTATTTACTATAAAAAGAGAAAACTATGACAATCTAGGCCTGTCTCTTCACTTTGTACTAAACTGGGGGACCTGTGGCCCTCCAGATGTTGTTCAGCTCCCATCCACCTCAGCCAACATCACCAATGGCCAGGGTTACAGCTTCCTGAAAGGGCCTACAAAGTATACAACATATTGGTGGCTAAATATTGAAACTAATGAAGATGAGTGGGTTAGAAATGAAACAGAAAAAGGAAATGGTTTAAACTAGAGAAGCTCCAGAATTTCTCTTGAGCTGAAATTTGCAGCGAAATAATCTAATAATTCCTTCCTGGAAAAATAAATCTGCATGCATACAAATTTCAGTACGCATTTCTTATGTGTTTCCCAGATCCAGCTGTGGAGGGGTGTGTGTGCATATTTCTATATGCATATGAATGCAATTTCTGGTCTATGCGTACATACACCCAATTTGGTGCCATTGTGAATGTGATCTGCTCAGCTGAGCTTAGCTTCCTGATGCAGATGCTCTGGAAATATCCAGTTGCTTGCTGGCCTTGCACGTACGCACCAGTACATACCCCCTTGCCTTGACATGTGCTTCAGCATTTTGAGGTTGCACTCCAGATTCCCACTCTCTGCACTCTCTGCAGTTCCTGTGTACTTGATAAAATATAATTTAGGACAGAGTGGAATGTTGTGGGGTACTGTAGGGCAACAGCCCTTTTGTTGACGGGTATCTGTGGTTCAACCCCAAGATAATGAATTGCTTTGCAAACTGATGGCATGGTATAAAACTTGTCATCTATTTGTGTTTCAGATGGGGAAGGGCTGTAGCTGATTGGTGAAGCATGCTAAAGATCCCTGACATCTGCTGTGCTACCTGAAACCCGACAGTGTTCCTGCCCAACCATGGACACCAGTGTTTCCCAGACTTGGGTCTCCAGCAGTTGTTAGACTACAACTCCCATCACCCCTAGCTAGCAGGACCAGTGGTCAGGGATGATGGGAGTTGCAGTCCAACAACAGCTGGAGACCTAGGTTTGGGAAGCACTGGTAGAGCTGGGATTGGGGGCAGCTTCTTATGGCAACCAGCCACCCACCAGTTTCCAAGTGAAAGTCATTTTCCATTGAAATGGCACTCACATTACATGCTTTCCAGTGCAGAAAGGGAAAAGACATGAGCATTCTGTTGATTGGGCATAGCAGAGAGTTCTCATTTTACTTAAAAGCGGAGAAACTTGACTCTAGTCATTTTTTCTACTCTAGTGGCACTGCCTTCCTGTAATTAAGAGTACATGTAAGGCCATTACAGAGAGCAGTTCACATTACAGTGTTGCAAATGGAGATCTGTATAGCAAACAGGATGTTTCCAGATTAACTCTTCAATCTCTATAGGAACTTAACATTACCTTCGCTTTTCTCCTTACATGCTTTGAAATGTGTGCATATTTTAATTGCAAGGGTCTTGTTCTTACCCTGTAAATCAGACATAAATGGCTGGGTGAAATGACACATCCTCAATTTTACAGTCCCATTTACTGCAAAATAGGGAGAGGGAAATCCAGTGATTTTAGGGCAGTGTTTTTGGAGTGGTAGTAGATTTACCAGAGCTCTTCAAAACTCCCATCGAGCTCATAGCACTGTTTTGAATTTCCAGAATGCCCCATTTGTGACACAACCTATTGTCCCCATTGGGAGCTCCCTTTCTTTTTTGCTTCCAGTGCCCTAGAAAATCATGCCTATCCCTAAAATATAAAGTAGCCTTTCTTGCCAGTAAGTTTCTCCCCATGCACACACTTAAAAATTGGGCTAAACATTCATCCTTTGAGAGCTTAGCACAGCACTAGACACTTCTGTTGAAAGAATTTCAAGTTAAATATTCTACATATAGGAGGTTAAAGCACGACAACTTTGTGCATATTGTGTTAGTGTGCATGCAAAAGCATACAGATGGAACATCCTGGACATTTCACACAGTGCAGAATGCAATCTAAATACAGTCAAGATTTCTGAGTGACATTTTAAAATGATAGTAGCAACTTGAAAGGCAGTGTTATCCTACAACTACTTTTCCTTTCCTCTGTTCATTCTTTTTTTTTTTAATGATATTTATTGAAAATTTTAAAATTACAAAAGAGAACAAAAAAGAAAAAAAGAAAGAAAAAACAAAGAAAAGACAAACCACAGTCAAACAATACAGATTCATAAAAATCAAAATCAAAAAATAATACGACACAATTAAAAAATAAAAATATACCACAATAATTTAAAAACAAATCCAATATTCTCATATCTTTAACTGTCATTACCTTCTTTCTTTGACCTCCTCCTCCTCCCTTTTTTTGTATCCTGATTATTAATTGTCACAGCAAATCCTTTCCATATTTCATAATATTCTGTCATTACTTTACCTTAATCTATTTTAATCTTATCTTACTATGAAAACCTTAAAACTTAAAACTTAAATCTTATTTTTACCAATTTCTCATAACCATAATATTCTTACATAATTTTTAAAACATTTTTGCTAAAGCCAAATAATTTCGTTCCAACATTTTTCTAACATTCATCAATTTTATAAAACAATCATAATAAAAGAAATAACAATCCAATCTTCATCCAGCGTCTCTTCCTCCTGGACCCGGGTTTTGTCAGTCCTTTCTATCCCATCAATCTAGCGCATTAACCTGGTAACCTTATGTCCGAGGCCCTTAAGTCTCTTCCATGTCCCTTCCGCAGCTCTTCTTCATATTTATAGCTATATTTTCCTTTATCTCCTACTTCTTTCACTCTTGGGAACTCCAGCTTGACAATGCTTTTGACCCTTCTCGACAAATCAGCCCCTTTTCCATAGTCCCCACTAAGCTCCATGTGGTATTTAAGAACATGTTTCAAAGACCCTCCAAAATTGAGAGCCCCCACAACCCCAAACATCTCACGGCCCATTGCCAGACTCGAAAAGTCCAAACCTCCCTGCATAGGGGGGTCTATCCAACCCCCCATTTCCAAACCAAACCAAACTTTATCTTTCCAAATCTGGCTTTTTCCAAGTTCATTTGTCAAATCCAAGAATTCATGTTCCTGCTGGGCCGCAGCTCCCTCCATCCCTGGCGCCCAAGATTCAGCAACATCTCTTCCCTCCTCTGTTCATTCTTATAAAAACACATTGTTGTTGTTGTTACAGTCATACCTCGGGTTACAGGCCCTTCAGGTTGCGTTTTTTTTTTGGGTTACGGACTGCAAAAACCCGGAAGTACCGGAACGAGTTTCTTCTGGGTTTCGGCGGTTGCACATGCCCAGAAGTGATAATCACACTTTGTGCATGCGCAGAAGTGCTGAATTGCAACCCGCTCGTGAGCAGACGCACCGCTGTGGGTTGTGAACGTACATCCCGCCCGGATCACGTTCGCAACCCGAGTGTCCACTGTATTATTATTATTATTATTATCTTTTTCACATTTAATATTTTATTGCAAACTTAGCAAAACAGAAGAAAACCAAAGAATACAAAATGTAAGCCGTAAAGCGTCACAGCCTGGAAGGATAAAAGTACAAAGATACAGCACAGCTCCAAAGGAATAATAAAGTATCGACTCTTACCAAAGAGGGATCTAGGAGAGCATGAGCAGTTCCGTTGCACCAGGTGTGGACCTTCTGGGGTTCCGCAGCATGTGCCAGGACTGTGATGTCCAATAGAGGGCAAGAGTTGGGGTCTCCAGATTCTGACGTTGCACAGGGCGCCACTGAAATCTGAGACGCAAAGGTCCGCCATTGCTCATACAAAGATTGCCTTCTCAAGTAACAAAGATATGTAGAAATGAAAGTTTTCCCCACCTGTGAATTCCATCATTATTGAGGATAAAGGTTCTATAAAGTTTCAAATGAGCCAGTATTAGATGAATACCTCTCCTTTGAAATGAAATAACATGGAAATGAGTGCTAAACACACACCACTTCCCATTGGTTTTCCAAAATGGCTTTTGCATAACATGAAAGCTTTAAAAAAAAAATGCAGAAATTAGCAATTAGGGAAACATGGGGGAAATGAAATAAACTACTGTGTGAATGCAGCTGCATTCCCTGCCCCCCCAAAAAATATCCAGAAAGGCGTTCAGATTATTATCACCTTAAAAACAACAACACTGTAACAACAACAACAACAACAACAACAACAACAACAACAACAACAACTGGATTGTGAGCATCAGGAGATATAGAATATTAATGTGACTTTAATTCTACTTCTGGATTTTAAGAACTGGTATTGCAATTATGTGGCAAACAAACACTTAAAAACTGCTGAGAAATCCAAATTGGACACCCACACCATCTGATCTTAGCAGGGGTCCTTCTCACTTATTCAAATGTGCAGTTCCTAAATGGAAGCCATATTTGTTTCCTTGTCTTGATCTGTACAGATGTTTGTTATCATTAATTACTGGTCTCTTGCCACAACTTGTTCAGAAATAGGCAATGCTATTTTCCGCTGAACCCCTTTCCCATTGCAAGAATACAGTGCACATAGGATCTAAAATTGCAGGCTTCTCAAAGGAAGCCTGTCTATAGCATTTCACTCATGCATTACAATTGATTTTCACGCTCCTTTTGCTGTTTTCAGATGCTTATCTGATGCACAAAATTTCAAAATCTAGCCTTGAAATGGCTAGTGAAATCCCTTCTTCAAAATACAGTTGAAATAAGAGCTCAGATACGTAAGGTGTCAGTGTTGTGTTGTGTTGTGTTGTGTTGTGTTGTGTGTGCACTCACTCACACAGAGACATCCTAAGAATGCTGTTATGAGGAGTAGGGTTGGCTATATTGATATTATATATGATATGTGTCTCAAAATGTATATATTTGAGGTTGGGTATTCTTTGCCTCCTTTGTTTAGAGGCACAAAAAAATGTTTCCGGGATGGATTAAATGGAAAGTTCTAGAAATAAGAAAGGAGCCATCCAAGATCATTTGAAGACTACACTGTAAAACTACAGTGGTGCCTCGCAAGACGAAATTAATTCGTTCTGCGAGTTTTTTCGTCTTGCGAGTTTTTTTGTCTTGCGAAGCACGGTTTCCCATAGGGTATTAACGGTTTTAAGAAAAAGGAAACAAACTTGCAAGACGTTTCGTTTTCGTCTTGCGAAGCAAGCCCATAGGGAAATTCGTCTTGCGAAGCAACTCAAAAAACGAAAAACTCTTTCGTCTTGCGAGGCATTCGTCTTGCGAGGTACCACTGTATAAAGCAAATTGCTTGTTTAAAATTGTTAAATTATTTCATTCTACTGGAATGCCCATTATTATGTTGGACACAGTTTGTGGGTGGTGCATTGCTTATATATTATAATGACGTGTGTGTGTGTGTGTGTGAGAGAGAGAGAGAGAGAGAGAGAGAGAGAGAGAGGTTTCGTTCCTGAATTTTACAAGGAGCTTTGCATTTGTGTATGTTTGTGTGTTCTAGTGTGTCTCTGTTCTCTTTGCACATAGATACAAATAGCATCTCCTTTCAAAACCATTGTTGGTGCCCTTCCCAATATAGAGTGTTATTTTTATATAATAGTCCCAGTCTTGTTAATCCTAACAGCCATTATAGAGCTTTGTGTGTAAAAGCAAGGTCAAAAAATACCTGGTATTCAATACATGAGCAGACCAAACCCTCCTAGGTACATATATATAAAAAAATCTTAGGTGAACTGCGCATGAACTGCATCTTAGGTGAACAGATATAGCTGACCATAATTACAGATGCTATAAAAAGTGCTGTTGTGATATTGGAAAGTACTGGTAGCCATATTTTCCCTCAGTAATTCATGCTGGCTTTATAATTAAGAGAACATCTCTTGATATGAGGCGCTTTTGCACACATTTATTGAGATAAAGGAGGAAGGACCAAATATTCTCTGTAGGGGAAGTATAATCAGCTGTAGGTAGGAGCAAGGCTGGGCTCCAGGGCCCTGGATTAAATTTTCCAAAAAGTGTCACCTTTTTAACCAGCAGAAAGAGGCACCGGGTGCATCTTTAAAGGATTTCAAGCAATAATATGCCAAGTGTTTTTAGTTTATCTCCTTGTCTTCCACTGCGTGAAACTGGTTATTGTTCTTTCAGATTTTAGGCTGCTCTACAGGGTGTAAGCTGACTTTAGTGTGTACACTCAGGTGGGAAATAAATAACAAAATAAAGAGCTGTCCTCACCTCTTTCACATTTTGCAGTTGTCTACATGAGGAAGGCTTAGGACTGTTCTGGCGTATAAGACAGCATGTTGTGTGAACCATCTCCACAAGGAATGCGCAACATTAAATAAAAATATTGCTTTTCAGAAGCATGAATGAACCATTTGTTGACTTATGATAAAAGCATGCCTAATTGTTCTCCCATAAACTCCTAGCTCTCCCTTTTGTTGCTGTGATTGTCATCGTATTTTTAAAAAATCATCTGCCTTTCATAACGCTTCTGCCTTTATCGTGCTGTGCTGAGGAAGCCCTGGGTGAGCGATTGTAGGTAATGTAATAAGAGTAAGAGCTGATACCATTTTATCAATCAATATGCTTCGGAAAGTAATATAATGTGAGCCATTAATTCCTCATCCTGCACTTTATTTATTTTTGCAGCAGGCTGGCAAACAGGAGGCCCTGGGCTTCACTTCATTTTTGTTTGTTTTCGTTTCTGTTTTCCTTTGCTGTCCTATGTGCTTGCAGTCTTCTGTGATAATTTCAGATTTGGGAGCATGCAACTCCTATTGTACCTAGAAACAAATTTTCTAATTTGCTTCTTCTGAGTGACAGTCTCTGCTCTGTGCTGCATTTTACTGTTATCATAAAGCATGTAGATGACAAGTTGATCCTGAATTAAAAAGGTAGAAAGGGGCAGGTTCACTCCATTGTCTTCCTCATCTGCTGGCATGCTGGGTTTAGATTTGGGAACCCAGGTTCAGATATCTTTCGTCCACCCCCACCTCCAGACAGCTATTTTACTTCATTTGAAACATTTCTGTGGATAGATGTCAGGATGCTGTCAGCGGCTCCCAGCTGGTTGCCCTGAAACGTATGAAGACAAGGGAAATTTTCTTACACTCACTTTTTATTTCAAACTTTGCAGAGAGAGGTTATAGAACCCAGCTTCGCATTGTCCCAAGTGAATCTCCACCCTTCCGTCTTTCCCACTTCCTCATTCATCTTCATCACCTCCTCTATGGGTACCACTAAGTCCCCTCTGTCTTTGAGCTCTTTGCTCTCCTACTTTTAAGGCTCAACAGGGAGATGGAAGGTCTGGAATGCTTTCTAATGACAACATGTCAGCCAGGTGTTGCTCTGGCTCTCCCATGATTTCCCAACTTTCCCCCTCATCTGCCTCTGAGCTGTGACCTCCATCAAACCCTGTTGTAAATCTATACTGTCTTCCTCTTCCTCCTCTCTGGAAGGGCAAGGATGGGGAGGTGGTCTCCACCATTCCTCCTATGTCTTCATTTGGTGTTGTGTTTAGTTGTTAACACACACACACACTATATATATATATATATATATATATATAGATTTTATAAGGATTTTCTAAAAAGGATAAGGTTTGTGTAATATTCTGTCTTCATTATATATGCTATGTAAGCTATGGCTGGAGTTTTTGATTATTATTATTTTTAATTCCAAGTCCAGATTAGCTGCTAGGTGGTAACATGGAAACTTTAGATATGGTACATGGAAGCTGTCATCTTTCCGTGGGTTTCCATAAATCAGGAAGGGGCTTACACGGAATCCTGAGGAACTGAGCAGGATTTAACCCCTGACCATCAGCTAATGAGCGGGGATTAAATCCTGCCTTGTTTGGTTGCTTGCCCCTGTTCCTTTCTGTTGTGGCGGGCTTTGGGGGTCTCAAACTTCAGTGGCGCCCTCTGCAATGACAAAATTTTGTGCCCTCCACTCATGCTACATTCTAAATCATAGTTATGGTGCCCCCTGCAGCACCAAAAAGGCTCATTGCGACTGACCAGTCACACTCCACTAAATCTGCCCCTGCCCTCTGGTATGGAGGTCATAGGACGGAAGGACAAGTTACATACTTTCGCTAGGAGATCAGCAATTTTGTATTGGAGTTCTTAGAGAACTCTAAAGTGGATGCCATCTGGACCTGGCAATTTGTTGTTGTTTTATTTTGTCTGTAAGGCCTAGAACAGGAGTCAGCAAACTTTTTCAGTAGGGAGCCAGTCCACCGACCTTGTGGGGGGGGGGCTGGACTATATTTTGAAAGGAGAAAAAAATGAACGAATTCCTATGCCTCACAAATAACCCAGAGATGCATTTTAAATAAAAGGACACATTCTACTCATGTAAAAACACGCTGATTCCCATGCTGTCAATAGGCCGGATTTAGAAGGCGATTGGGCTGGATTCGGCCCCCAGGCCTTAGTTTGCCTAACCATGGCCTAGAACTTACGTTATTTTGTTCTTACATTTCTTCTACACCCCCCATGTTTTAAAAGAGAGAGAGAGGAGACCCAGTTAGCAATCACCACCTTTTTGAATGACCTGTATAGCAGATACACATGCACCCACAGAGACCCCCCCTTCATCCCTCCCTCCTCTAAAATTAGGCTTGAAACAAACATTCTGTTGTGTTGGGTATTTGTGTATGGTGCCCACAACAGTTTATTCAGTTTGCAAATCTGCCTCTGGGCCCAAAGGAGATAGTGACTCCTGCTTTAAACAGTGCACAGTGGTATAAACTATAGTGGGCTGGTGTTCCTTTCATCATATTCTTGTAGTGTTGTCCTCAGTTTGCAGATATGTGCAGAAACATACACCCAGATATGGAGGGGGGGGAATTATATATTTCAAAAAATGTCAGTTAATTTATTCCCTGACCTTTTTGCCAAATTGTACCAGGTGGCTTTCATAAATATCAGTAAAATACAAAAAAACCAAGATAAAATCTAGCATAAAAGTTACGAATGATTTGCAAGCAGCTTAAAACACCTGGAGAATAGACAATGAACTCATTGTCCTAAGAAAGTCTGCTTAAATTAAAATAAATAGTGAGGCCAAAATGCCATGAGATGCAAGATACAATCTGTGACATTTTTATGCGAAGCTCAAATAATAAGTAAGGTAAGATAATTGCTCACAAGGTAAGGTTTAAATGTATACAAGATAATATAAGGAGGTTCTCCATAGATTAATCATTTTAACAAACAAATACTTGACGTATTTCAGTGTCGCTTTCAATACAATTTAAAATGTGAATGTATAGTGAATTAAGATAAAAATAATGAATTCCGGTCTCTCTGGACTGCTTATTCTGCTTCTAAGCAGCTGCTACAATTAGGAAGTTGCTTCTTCATGCTTAGCCTGGATCTGCTAGAACGGATAAACCATGGCTTCTCCTCTTCTGATATCTTTGCAAATATTTGAAAGCTGTCAACATATATTCTAAGCTTCTATATTAATCTATCTCTTTTTCTAGCTCTGGGCTACTATCAGTTTTTTAGCTTTCTCCCATAGGATTGTCCTTGAGGTCCATTTATCCTTACAGTTATATATAATTGAGTTCTGAGTAACCTGTTGTGCCCAGCACAGTTGGAGATTTACCAGTGATGGGCATAGCAGTAATATAACTTATTGAAACCCCCTATGGACCTGTCTAAGGGACAATCTAGTACAGAATCCCATTTCTAGTTCTAGCAAGTCAGATGTACATGGAAAGCTAGCTGTTGAGCTGGCCATATCTTACATATCATGAGGACCTATACAGAAACTGCGGTATCTGTTATATATACCCAGTAGGCCGCTTTGGTCTGCCGGAGAGCTTTTCCTGCAAATTCCAAAGATATCAGAACCCCACTCCATAGTAATTCAGAGCAGGGCTTTCAGTGTGACTGCCTCTGTTCTATGGAATAGCATTCCTGTCGAGATATGACAGCTGTCCATCATCTGCACTCTACAGAAACGATGGAAGGCATTCTTGTTTCAGTGGTCTTTCCCAGCTGGGTGAATGGGTCTCTGCATGGCTGTCTACATTGTTGTTGTTTAACATAACTGTTGTTTTCTGTGTTGTTTTAACTGTTTTGTAGCTTAAAAAAAAGAACTTTGTATATTGCCTTGAGATGTGTGTGTGGAAGGTTTAATAATAATAATAATAATAATAATAATAATAATGGGAAATACCACCCAACGGAGCTGGTTTGCACAACACAGTAAGCCAAACAATAGTTTGGAGAGACTGTGCAAATTCCTAGGCAGACTCTCATAGCTTCTTTCTTCTTCCCCAATCCATTTTATTGTTGCACTGTGCTGAGCTAAGCTTGCCGAATGGGGACTTGCAGTTGATTTCTCTCCTCGCTAACAGAGAGTCTCAACCAGGAAAAAACTTACTGTGTCATGGAGAACTGGGTCAGTGTGTACTCATCTTCAAATTGTTGTTCAACTTTTAAAAAATCCTTGTCTCATGCATTGGGTTATTATTTTGGAATTGTCTTAATTTCCTCTAGTCTGCTCTTTGCTTCCTAACCCTATGAAACATTAATGAGTTTAATCTAGAGGAGACATTTCTGGTACTAGGAACAGCAGCTATGTGACACCCTCAGAACTTCTCATGGAATTTGTGTGGCTCTTGTTTTTTTAGAGGCTTGTTTTATTTGTGTGTGGGGGGGAAGAGAATCAAAATTTTCACTTCTAGCTTTTCACTTCTACAACAGTGTTTTTTAAGAGTGGGTTACATATATAGTCAAGTCGCATCATTTGCACATTTTACTTACCAAATTCAACTTGATGCACTTGACTGATGCTCTGTTTCAGCCTTTTTCTTCTAGTTGCTTCTCTCTCTCTCTCTCTCTCTCTCTCCCCTCCCCTCCCCTCCCTGTGGGTGCCCCCTCTTCCCTGCCCCTCCACCACTGGTGGAGCACCAAAACCAGCAGTTTCCGGCAAGTCTCATGAGATCTTGTGCACTCTGTCAGAACCTGCTGTTGTTGCTGCCATTTCACTGTACCACCATGCAAGCCAGACAAGGAAGCTTTGGGTCAGTGATGTGGAGATTGCAGGGTTGGGGAGAACCTTCCCATTTCACCTCAGGCAGCAAAAAAGAATGTGCTGCCCCTTGCACCATCCCAGCCCAGTGTCCAGATACCAGCTGAGATCATGTATACTAGCACCTGATTCAAATGCTAATGGAGATGAAGCGTCTCCACCTCCATCGTTCTGCCCAGACACTGAGGTCCAGCGCTGAGGGACTTCTGGTGGTTCCCTTGCTGCGAGAAGCCAAGTTACAGGGAACCAGGCAGAGGGCCTTCTCAGTAGTGGTACCCGCCCTGTGGCACGCCCTCCCACCAGATGTCAAAGAGAAAAATAACTACCAAACTTTTAGAAGACATCTGAAGGCAGCCCTGTTTAGGGAAGCTTTTAATGTTTAATAGGTTATTGTATTTTAGTGTTTTGTTGGAAGCCTCCCAGAGTGGCTGGGGAAACCCAGCCAGATGGGCTGGGTATAAATAACAAATTATTATTATTATTTTTCTTATTATTATTATTATAACAAGAAATTGGGCTCTCCTGCAGATTCAAGGGAAGACTTATGGCCCACCTTTGCAAGGAGTTGGTTTCCAGCTCATTCCTTACAAAGCCTCATTTGAAATGAATGAAAAAGGCTTCTGTGTTTTTAATCACTCACATTTGTAGCCTGTCATTTCCCAAGGAGCTTAGAGCAGTAAGCATAAGGACATTTGTACCCCACTCTTCCATGGAACTCCAGATGTCAGACATGGACTTCCTATGAAACCTCCCAGCCAAACGCTGACCTGGTCCAGGCCTGATTTGCTTCATTGTCTGCTTTCAGACCAGGTCGTGCTTCTATTTTATGTTTATTGTAGAGCTGCCCATCACAACAGAAAACACCAGCCCAGGATTTGAATATGTTCACATGTCCAATTGACTGCCTAAAGCAATTGCTTCACATTATTTCTAGGGGAGGCTGGCCCTGACATAAGCCCCTGAAAATGATGCTTTCCCTTCTGTCTCTCCTTCCTGGAAAAATGTGTCTCCAACTGTCCTTTTCTACATTGCCAACAACTTCATAATCTCCTGGTGCTTAAGTCTGTCCTATTTCTAAAACTTTGAAGTGTCCTCACTTGGTTCATTTTGGCAGGTAGTTTGACAGATCTAGACCATTTCAGTAGTCCCTGCAGAATCTTTTCCTTTTCCTTCCTGTTACACTAAACCATTAAACAACTGGCTTAAAAATAAATATGCTGAGTGGCTCACTGGCTTTCTGTTGAAAATGCAGCACTTCTTATTTTATTTTTTTTGCAGGATATGCCACAGAATGTAGTCAGAACCTTGTTCTTTCCAGCAATGTTGATATCCCCGGAGGCCCTTCTCTTTCTGGACAGAGAAAGAAGTATAAACTGAAAACTGATCTTAGTGTCGTTTAAAATATGCCCCTTGCCTAGCAGCATTCTGCCTGCACAATGTATATATGCATGTCTCCTCTGAAGTGTAGGACTTCCATGCACTGCTTCAGGATAGATATTGAGCCTGTCTAACCCGTTGACTGACCGGGTTATTTTGGCAGTGGCAATATTGCACTTTAGCTCAGAGCAACACCCGGATTCATCTGTTCTGCAACCAGTAGTGTTGGATTAGACAGAGACTGTGTCCAGATTGTCCAGCCATGCACAAGTGAGTATTTCGAAAAGCCGACTGTTCGCTACAGTTAAAGTCACTTCATGGTATAGATGTGCTGACAGAAGGTTGTTGGGCAAAGGAATGCATAAGGGGTAGCTGGTAACTTTGTAGCTCAGTATACAACCTGTTGCATGACAAGCAGAGGTGCCAATTTGAATGAAATATTGTGGGAGCCCAGGTAAGCAGCGCCCCCTCATAATCACATGACACAGTGCATGCACACCATTTGAATGGAAATGCTGCGGTCCCAAAGACCCCATGGCCCCTAGGAGTTGGCTGCTATGACAGCAAGTGGCTACTAGTACAACTGTTGTGCTGGATTCTTCCATTGTGCAACATTAAAATTCACCCATCCACTAGCTCAAGAACCCTTATGTTAGCAGACAGGGAATGCTGAATATAGTCCTATGTTTCCATTATGATTTGTCCAGGGAAATTAACTGTGACCAGACCTGGAGTTAATTGTATCTAAATCCACAGTTGTGAAGAAGGAATATCTAAATTGCAGTAGGTAAACATTTCTGCTCAGTTAGCCGGGCAACAATAGAAAGCCAGTCTGGCCTAGCCTGACCAATCTACTGGTATCTTATTTATGGTAGGTTTCAGTGGAACAGACTCCTTCAGAAGGTGGTGGACTCACCTTCATCAAAAGTTTTTAAGCAGAGTTTGGATGGCCATCTGCCATGTTTTCTTTAGTTGGCATTCCTACTTGAGGCAGTTGGACTAGATGAGCTGCAGAGTTTCTCTCAACTGTACAATTCTGTGATGCAATGAAAAAAAAATGCTGGATATTGGTTCTTTGTCCTGATAGTTCACAAGGCTAGGTTCCAACTTCAGGACTTGAGGCACCTTGCTGAAGTTATGGAGCCCCTGATCATTGGGCTCACAAGTACCAAGTTGTTGATAGTTCCCATCCAAGGCTTAGTACAACAACTAAGTAGAGCAGGTCAAAAGTCATAGCAGTGTGCTATTATAAAATAGTTTGCTGAATAAGGCTGAAGTGCCAATGTAAGGATAACCAACTTGGTACCTTCACAGTTTTGCTAGACCACAACTCCCATTATCACTGAGCAATGGGCATGCTGCCTAGGGCAGATAGGAGTTGTAGTCCAACAGTTGGAGGACACCATGTTGGCTATCGCTGTGCTACTGAGAAAAGGGAAACAATGTGTTGTCTTTGGTGATATTTCGAGGCTCTTGCTCTGACTTGGGAATAAAGGAGGTGGTGTAGGAGCCAACTCCTAGGGGTCAATATCCTTTTGTCCCCTCCTAAAATATTTGAGGAGCTGATCATTGACTGCAGGATATGGACTGACCAAAAATAGTTACTCCATAAGACAGGCACCACTGTGTTACTACCAAAGCAATAGAGTGCACCACCATTTAATAATTTCTTATTGCTTCTTCTCAAAGATCCTTCTGGGACCCAGGGAGAAAAGTATAGCAGAGACGGTTAGATAAATGAAGGAGACCTCTGTAGTGGCTGGGTCTAATGGCTCTTGCATTGTTTAGAAAAAAAAGCTCTTTGACCAGGCTAAGTAGGCATTCCGGAAAAGCAGAAATGGAAATTAGTTTGCTCAAAGTGTAGCAAGAACCCCAAAAGCATTGTGTGGAATGTTGCATTTGCAGATCCACTTAACGTGATTCTACCAGCCCATTGTTGAAGCGGATCACTGGGGGAAATTCCCAGGATGAACATTTTGATTAGTACTGTAGAAGCTGCTTTCAAGAAGTTGCAAGTTGCTTGTTGGCTTCTGCCTAGAAAACAGTTGTTGGGCCATATTGAAATGAGAGATGATAAGTGTTGATAGATTCCCCGCCCCCCATTTGATTTTATGTGTGGTATAGCAGAGAAAATATAAATATTTCTTTTATGGAAAGGTATAAAGGGATTCTTATCCCAGTGATCGCCTCATTAAGTAAATGTGGTGGTTTTGGAGACAGTCCATAGCAATTCTTTCATATAGGAAGTGCAATAGAAATAGCCTGGGCTTTTTATTTTCAGCCACACTCTCTGAAACTCAGTTCCAGCACCTCTCAGGTGGGCGCCATTGCCATTATAAGAGAACATGATGAGTTATGGCACCTCTTTTTCTGGAAAAATAGCACTGGGAATAGCCCTTTCCCTTTAAGCTGGAACAGGAAACACGCAACCCTCCAAATATTGCTAGACTACAACTCCATTAAGCTGGAATTAATGAAATTACGTAACCACACAAAAAAGGGCTTTCTGGGGTAAGTAAATAGTTAAGATTTTCCTAACCATTGTTGAGAAGTTTCTGAATACTGCTTAACTTTTGGTAGTTGCAGTTCCCCATTCATTTGCACCATAAAACAGCACCTGCTGAAGTTTCATTTTCTAAATAATCTTTTAATAGGCAGCTGAAGCTCTGACCTGTTTTTCATTTGGCTGGATGACTCTGTGTTCTGCTCTTATTGCGAGGAGGGTTAGACTTGAGGGACCATGGCTGCATACAAACCATACACTGAAAGCACATGACTTCCCCCCAAAGAATCCTGGGAACTGTAGTTTGTTAAGGGTGCTGGGAATTATAGCTCCGTGTGGGGTTCCCAGGATTCTTTGGAGAAGCCATGTACCAAGTTTGCTAAATCATTAGTAGATTGTTGGCCAGATAATGAAGGTTTTTTATGAACCTGAATTCTGTAGGACAAGTGCAGGCGCCAGTGCTTCTATGGAACGTAATTTTATTGTCATGGATGCTTTAGTATTCCAGGGGGTTGGACTAGATGCGTTCTTGGGGTTCCTTCCAACTCTACAGTTCTATGATTCTATGATTCCGTTGTCTCCTGAGGCAGACAGATGCCAACTAAACAGAAGCAAGTGACTCACTCCAGTGAAACTTAAGCCAACTTCAGGTCGAATTGATTTGAATGGAAGTGGATTAAGGGTGTGCTTATGCATTCCAATGGAATATATGAATTTTTTTATAAATATACTTACCTTTGTCTGGATCATTCCACAGTGTGCCTTCTATCTACTTCTTATAACCCAGTGCTTTCAGCTAGTGGTGCTTCATAGTAGAAGTATCACCAGCTGAAAAAAAGTATTATAATTGGGGGGGGGGGACCTATGAACCTCCAAGTGTTGTTGGACTTCAACTCCCCTCAACTCCAACCAGCATAACCAATGGTCAGGGCAATGGGAGTGACCAGATCTTTTCATGTGTAGACAGGTAGACATAAAACCTGTATCTTACGTGTGTGTTCATGGGACAATCTTTACTGGAAACAATTGCATGCCTCAAAAGTTATTAAAATGTACCAATCACCCCCTTGCTTGCTTAGGGGAATTCAGCAAGAACCTTGTAGTTATTTTGATGAAAATAACTTATTTTTGCAAAATGGGTGACAGTGAGTAAAATGGCTTTGCGGCTTGAAATGCCAGTGCAGACATATAAAATAGCAAGATGGTTGGTTGTTGTTAGCCGCCCTGAGCCTGGCTTCGGCTGGGGAGGGCGGGATATAAATAAAATTTATTATTATTATTATTATTGGTTATTACAAGTCACACAGGCTACCAAAACCAACATTACCTGAACCATAAGCTTGATTTGGGTGGTAGTATCCCTGACAGCCAGGGACGCTGGTGGCGCTGTGGGTTAAACCACAAAGCCTAGGACTTGCTGATCAGAAGGTCAATGGTTCGAATCCCTGTGACGGGGTGAGCTCCCATTGTTCAGTCCCTGCTCCTGCCAACCTAGCAGTTTGAAAGCACGTCAAAGTGCAAGTAGATAAATAGGTACCGCTCCGGCGGGAAGGTAAACGGTGTTTCCGTGCGCTGCTCTGGTTCGTCAGAAGCAGCTTAGTTATGCTGGCCACATGACTTGGAAGCTGTACGCCGGCTCCCTCAGCCAATAAAGCGAGATGAGCGCCGCAACCCTAGAGTCGGCCACAACTGGACCCATAGACTCAGGCTTTTCTTTACTGCATCTGAGCCAAACTGGGCTCCTCAGAACCCTTCTTAAATGTTCTTTAAGTGGAAAAAAACCCCACTTTTTTTTCCTCATGGGAATAGCATAGACCTGTGCTTTCCACAAGGATCCTGTGGAAATGTCAAGCACTGAATTTAAGACTGGAGAAATGAGAATCTGAGAGAAACCGACATTGACAGATTCACCCATCCCTAGGGAACTACCATCAGCTTGGCTCAGAGTTAGCTCAGAATTGGCTTAGTTGCTACTAGGAGCTTTCTATGCAATCCATATGAGAGGATGAATTCCTTCAGGTGTTCTGTTCTTCTGTGGAATGCCCTGCTTCAGAGGACAGTTTGTGCATGCTAGTGCATGCTTCTGCTTTATCAGTTACAGTGGTACCTCTACTTACGAACGCAATCCGTTTCAGGGTGCCATTTGCATCCTGAAAAGTCCATAAGTAGAGCACCACTACTGTGTGTGCGCGAAATGCAATAGAGCGCTTCTGTGCATGCGTGAAGCATGCAGATTGCTTTTGCCCGTGCGTGCGCGGTGAACCCGGAAGTAAACACTTCTGGGTTTGCCGCATTCATAACCTAAGAAGCCGCAACGTGAAGCAAACGTAACATGAGATATGACTGTATTTCCTGTATGTATTCCTCCCCCCCCCCCAGTGTTATGATTTCCCCTACCTGCTATTCTTTTTGTTTCCAAGGTTGGAATAAGATTTCTCGAACTGTTCTGGAAGCCCCATTCTTTATTTCTTGGTACAGATTGCAGCTGTGCAATAAACGGATGCCCCTGAAAACTTCAGA